ATCATTTTTAAATTATGTTTTTGGACTGTTTAAAACATACAAGAGAATAACACTTAATTATGTTGCTTATACCTAATACATATAATTCATTTTACATCTTGTGAACCCAAAATACCAACATGCTGAGGATAAAAACACCATGCTGATCAGAAATTCACAGTCACCAATTTAATAATGCACCGTAACATTTTTAATAATGTAAATTGATTAAAACCTTTTTTCAACGTAAACTCGCAAAAATAAGGCTCAAAAGCCGAGTTTTGGCGTAAATTAAATCGTGAATATCACAGGGGTGGGCTGTTTGAATGGTGCTGTGCAATTTACGACGAGGTACCGCATAATAAGCTGTTTACGTAAATCTGGATTCCGATGAATGTATAATGTAATCAGAGACTAATAACATAAACGTATGCGACCTTTGTTGTTCGATCGCAATATCGAACTAGATTGCTAGAAACTTTGTTTTGGAAATTGAAATAAACTTTGTATATAGCCACATGTGTGAGGTTACCGCAGGCCCAGCCCTTCCTCTCGCTCCCACCCTTCCCAATCCCTAAATACCTGATAACCCAATCCCAAAGGCCGGCAGCGGACTCGTAACTCCTGTTTTGGCTGACCATGGGCGGCCTCGATTGCTCACCATCAGGTGACCATCAGTTCGTATGACACATATACCATATCACAAAAAAAAATCAGAATTGCGTATCACAAATGGAATATTGTAGTAAAAAAACTTTTACACACTTTAAAAATAAAATGAGAAGTGTAACGTACTATTCAAGATAGTATAATACTCGTAACAATAATATTACATTCACATAAATTACTCAGAAACATAGAAATACATAAGTATATATTATCGAATTAAAACACCATAGTTACTTACTAAATAACTTTCAAGGCTTTTAAGAAAACAACACAAAGCGATGCTCCTTAAAACGTGGATACAACGAGGGTTTGACAATTTAAAAGTGCAGGTTGCATTAGTGAAGCGACTCCCAGCATCAATTTATTGAGGACGGAATATTCCTTTGAACTCCATAACGATCTTTGCGGATATGTTTTTGCATAATTCTGTTGATACATTTTGTATCAAATATGAAACAATTAGAGCATATTTTTTACAGTTCCACTTAATTTTGGCTTGTTTATTTTATAACAGTCGTCAGATGAGAAATAATTCAAGCCTTTCTACTTGAGTTTTAGCAATTTTGAATTGTTTATTCGATTAGATTTGTGTAATTAATTTGAATGCATGCAATGCAATGAATTTATTTTGATTTGTACGCCTAAGTTACTTTTTTTTATGAAAGTTTCTTTAAGCGTGACCTTTTTTCATTATAACATTCATTTACGATAAAATTTAGCTGTGTTATAATAAATTGATTCAGTACAATGAAACAATGAAACAATGAATTTATTTTTGCAAATAGGCCATAAAACGGCACTTTTACACGTCAATTTATATGTTGAAAACTAGATGAAGCCGGTATGATATGATGATTGTATCAGAATAATTATCATTGATTAATCATAAATTTGCATAGAAATCTTCAAGTATTCAATTCTTTCCATTTCTTTTACTGGTTAGTGAGCATGTAATATCTTTAAGAAACTTCGTCTTCATTGTTGGGAAAAGTTTGCAAAAATATGAGTTACATTATATCTTCAGTGAGTACTAAGTTCGAAGATGGATTGTCTGACAGATGTTATTATGGTAAAAGTACTGCATACTTACAAATATTATGCTAAGTTGCTATATTAATAACATGATGTGGGTACAGATGTATGTTTGAAAATTAATTGGCATACGAACCGAAAGATAAAGAAAGTAGATGTGAAAGGTAAAAACTTCAAGTGTCATTGTTGATATTCAAGGATTTCAATCAATTTGTCAGATTGCTGAAGAGTGAGAATACTTTTAGTGCTTAAATTGTTATTTAAATTACACATTCTGCCTTTTTATGTGATAGTATCATTGGTTGATGATAAACAGTCGGCGCCCTTCGTGGACAGCATCAAAGTAGTTATGAGTGCGTTGCCAATCTTTTGAGGATAGAGGAATTGGGAAGGATTATGTGTTTAGTCACCTCACTCACACAGCGAATACTTTTTTGTTAGGCTGTTGTCACTTCAGCAAGAAAACTAGAGATGCATGTTCTCATACACTTAAAGATGTCTAACTTGTTATAAAATTAAGTTTCTCATACGTAGTGTAGAATAATAAAATGCGATTTATAATTTTAATAAGTAGTAGCTTCAGAGACGGCGTAAGGCCAGGGTGACATGGGCCACCGCCTACGGCTGCGGTACAGGGTGCAACACGCCTCAAGATTTTTTATCTTTCGTCTTCAGATCGCCACAGGAAAGAACCTCGCAAAATCTGTCTTGCCCACATTAAAATTAGGTCTTGCCTCGCCACTGAATAGCTCATTCATTCAATACTTTAATGTTAGTAATTAAATCATTTTATTATATTTATATTATATTTCGACTCTTTTGTTTCATAGTGAACATTTAAAAATAAAGTTCAACCAAACCACATCCATTCCACTGCCATTAAAACGATAGATTACACCACATTAATTGGCGATTAATTTTAATTATGCGCATTACAATGGTAATTTTGCGAAAGCCATTACCTGCCAGAGTCATTTTTAATTATGTTTATTCTACGACTTATTACTTCAATATGAATAATTATTTTTTTAATTATATAGTTTATTATTTCGTATATACTGGTTAGTCAATTAATATACGAGCCCCGATACAAAAAATTTCGTCTCAAATCAATTTTTTTCTATCTTCCTTATTTTTGTAAATCTATATAATATAAAAAAAACTATATTATTCTGTTCCTGCATTATTTGAAGAATGTTTAAAGTTTGATTTTTTAAGGTAACACTGTTATATGTTTCCGGCAGTGGGTGGTGTGGTCTCCTAAAGATACGCCCATCAATATAAAAAACGTGTATCCTCAATAAATCTCACCACTGCTCAAGCGGCTAGTTGCAGGTAGGCAACAAGTACAACGCCAAGCCAAATTTTGACACACCTCGAAAAAATGTTAATATAGGTAATTACCTACCTAGACAATTAAAATAATAATAAATAAAATTTAGAAAATAAAAATAAATAAAATTTAGAAAATAAAAATAATTAATGTGGCACGCAACACGGTGCGTCACAAATAGTTATTAAAAAGAAAAAATAAGACACAGAAATGCAACAAAATTAAGGGACAAAGCAAACAAAATTAATATGCGTACACATACGCTGTAATGATAATTTATTCAGTAAAATCCTTTCCACAATTTTATATATAGCATTAAATATGAATGCGCATTCTATGTAGTGGTACTCCTGGGTTTCAGTTCATACGATAATAAACACTATCTGACGCTAAGTACCTCATAAACAAAGGAGCACTGCACTAACAAGATCTTGTGGAAAATAAAACTTGGTAATAAAAATGAAAATAGAAAATCTTAAGTGTAATCTTAAAAGAATGTTAGCCAAACTTTTTTTAATAAACTTATCATTTATAATGATTTTATAAGTGCTTGCGCAACTTTCATAGCTTTTATATGAGTCACAAAATTTAGATATTTCAAAATTTTCATCGACACGTCTGTATATAAAAAAATTGTATACTTCATGCAATTTGAATAGAATACATATTAGTACTTAATATATCTCATTCCACAGCTTCATTATGACACTAAAGTTCTAGCACACCTAAATTGTTTTGCAGAAAGTACTCGGCTTAAATAATTTCGTATGTTCTACGACCGTAGCTCTACGAGCCGGTCTCGTAGCGCTCTACGCGGAGCTCGGCGTAGCAACAGTTGCATTCGCTACGTGCTACGAAACGGGCGCACTCAACGGAATATCAAATTTTACGTAGCGTCGAAAGTTGAGAATAACAATGTGACCTAGTTTCGATTCCAGTTAAAATTACTTCATATATGAGACATGAGAATATTTTGATATCTGCCTAAAGTTTTAGTAATGAAGAACTGCAGTGTTAATATCGTGATATACTTATATAAGTGAAAATGGGAACTTTGACTGTGTTTTGTTATTTAATAATTTATTATATAAAAGGTGGGTGATTTAGGATGTTTTTAAGTTTCTTTATAAATCAATAAAACTATAGTTTACAACATATAGTTTAACAAAAATGCATACTATCCCCTAGCAAATATATATTTATTTTACCGCTAAAATGAATTGTGTGTATTCTTGAATATTTATAAAAATTAAGTCAAAAAACATTCGTTCCCTATAATAGGACATTAAAATACGAAACTCCTCCAACAGGACTGCTATAGATAATAAAGTTTCTAAGGGTTATTAAACCCGGTAAAACTTTTTATAAATAGTTCGTTTATGACAAAAAAAGAGAACATTTACTTTTTAATTCAATTCAAATAAACACAAAAAGCCGCACGTGTCAAATAACAATATTTTTTTTCAAAAAAAGAGAAGTAATTTCTCTTTTTTTGAAATACCTATAACCTTTTTTTTAATACGAGTAACAAAAAACAATTAAGAACAAAAATCATTCGAATGTTACTATTTATAATTATTTTAAAATGCTACAATAAAAATTCGCTCATTCGCCAACATTAATGAACAAAATGAGAATTGAACATTTCATTCAATTTCGTTCATTGAGAAGTTCGGTCTCTCGATAACAAACATTATATTCATGAAGCACTTGAGCAAAGTTGAGTACGTCTGTGTGCCTCCCGATAGAATACGCTATTGAAGTACGTCTTTAGCCCGAGATTCAACGACAATACATTATTGATATTAAATATATCTCAGACTTTCAGTGTTTTGTATACGATTCTTTTTATTTTTATTTTGAATTGAGAATTTGAATAACGTAGGTACTCTGTGTGTGGCTCTGGTCACTAATCATTAGATATTCTATATGCTTGTTTGTTTCCTACTCCTTAAAATAAGTGTGGGAGAGCCATGCTTCGGCATGAATGGGTCGGCTCGACCGGAGTGATACCACGGCCTCACAGAAAACCTGCGTGAAACAACCACAGCGTTGTGTTTCGCCGTGTGAGTGAGGTTACCGGAGGCCCAATCCTTCCCCTCCCCCAATCCCTAAATCTCCAAACCCCTAATCCCTATAAGGTCGGCAACGCACTCGTAACTCCTCCGTTGCGAGTGTCCATGGGCGGCGCTGATTGCTTACCATCAGGTAATCCGTCTGCTCGTTTGCCGACCTATTACACAAAAAAAAAAAAATTGCACTTCTTTTTTAAAAGTTTTACTATTTAGTTCGGATGGGAATGATATTTAGGAATATCTTTAGATTCGTTTAATTACAGTCTATTTCACATTATTTCTGCTAATTTTCTTACAAATACTTTGTTTTAATACGAGTTTAAGTTAAAAAAGTAATATGTAAGTTCATTAGAACAGTTTTATATGCACTAAATTATGTTTTTTTAATCACTTATATTTATTGAAATTTATTATAACTCTCGTGAGAATTAATAGTTTGTTTTATAAAAAAATATTTTACTCGAACAGTTTCAAGTCATGCAAGGGTCTCTTAGACATGAATGGCTTTGCACAATAAATTACTTTTCTACTTGACGTTTCGCCACGTAGTGTGTAGCACAATGCTGCTTATGATTAATACAACAAACAATTTTGTTTGTACGGTTGGCGTAGTAGCTGGACAGCTACGTGTCGCGGATTCGATTCCCGCACGGAACAACACTTTGTGTGATCCACAAATTGTTGTTTCGGATCTGGGTGATTTGTGTATTTAAAAAAAATATATCAAATAATATTATTTTTCTCTAACAGTATGCATATGTCTCCGCATAGTGGGCATATCGGTACCAGCACTGAAGCAACGTGGGGAGTCCTCCACGTTAACATGTGACTATGACCTGGAAGGGAGTAAGCTGTACTCTGTCAAGTGGTACAGAGACAATGAAGAGTTCTACCGATACATGCCTCGGTTGAGGCCCCCTCAACATGCACACAAGTTGGACGGAGTCAAAGTTGACGTGAGTTACTTGTTATTATATCACTGGATTTTTCAATAGTCAGATTAATGTTAAATGAGGAATTCCCCCAGATAACTTTTATCTCAAAGGCCAAAGTACAAATACCTACCCCAGAGGGGGGGGGGGAGGTTGGGGATCGCAGTAGTATATGAAAGAAATGCTCCTCGGTGTCTGGTCGCAGTTTAAGGACATACCCGGGTCCAACTTTTATCCAGCCATTGAAAAACAGCCCTAAATATGTTTATTTAGTACATACCAGGGATGGCTGGAAAGTTATCTACCTAACATAGAAAGAAAAGACAGAGGAAGCTCATTTTTTTTTATTTTTCGATATAGTCCCCTGCTTCCGTAATGCACTTATTACATTTGTCAATAAGCGACATTAAAACGTCAAAAAAAATTTCTTGGATTGGTCGTCAAAATGGTCATCCACAGCGGCCTTCATTTCTTCATAGGTCGAAAATCTCCCTCTTAGGCTTTTCTTCAAATTTCTAAATAGAAAATAGTCACAGAGGCCAAATATGGACTATAGGGTGGACGGTTTATTTCCTTGAAGCCATTTTTGCTTAAGACTGACCTTGCATGTAAAGCTGTGTGGATCGGAGCATTGTCGTGCAAAATTAAAACTCTTTTGCCGAGTTTGCCTCTTCGTTTTTCTTTAATGGCTTCTCGCAGTTGGTCAAGTAAGCTGGCGTAGTAAGCTGCGTTCATCCTAGTATTTTTTGGTAGGTAATCTATAAAAAGAATCCCCTCGACATCCCAAAAAATTGTTGTCATAAGCTTGCTTGCTGATGGCCGAACCTTAAACTTGCGCGGTGGCTTCTCCCCTTTAAATTTCCACTATATAGACTCCTGTTTGCTTTCGGTGTCCCATTGGCGAATCCAGGTTTCGTCGCAGGTTACTATTCTAGAGATAATTTCTTCTTCTTTGTCTTTTACTAGGTCCAAAAATGCCTCACAACATTCGACGCGTCGTTGTTTATCAAAGGGCGTCAGCATTCTCGGTACCCATCGTGCGCTTACCTTTATCATCCCTAAATGTTCGTGAATAATAACGTGAACACGTTCCTTACTAATCCTGACATCCCTAGCGATTTCCCACTGCTTGACTCTCCGATCTGCGAGTATTATTTTTTTCACTCGAGCCACCGTGTCTACTGTGACTGCAGAAACCGGCCGTCCGCTACGGGGATCGTCTTCCAGACTCACACGGCCATGTTTAGATTGTTTAGACCAAAACTTAATAACAAAATCGGAAGGACATGAGTCGCCAAACATATTGGACATTCGTTGTTTTTTTGTTATTTGCGAAGGAGTATTTCCTTCTTTAGTTAGGACTTTAATCACGGCACGCTGCTCAATTTTAAGCATTTTATTATTTTCATCCGACATGTTTACTATGTTAGTGGACTATTCGTAATGAAAACAATTAAAACAAATGAATGCTATTATTTTCAAATAAGGAATACATAAGTATTAAAGCTTCATAGTGGCCAGTATCATTTTTGTAACTTTATTGAACAAAGTAGATTATATATCAGCCACCCCTCGTAAGTATCGTGTAATTGTTAACCGAGCAGACAAATACCTTGATGGTAAGCTATCGGCGCCGCCAATGACCAAAACACCAAAGTAGTGGCAAGTGCATTGCAGGCCTTTTGAGGATTTAGGGACGAACGAGCAGACGGTTACCTGATGGTAGGCAATCGGCGCCGCCTATGGACATCCACATAATCAGAGTAGTTGCAAGCGCTTTTCCAGACTTTTGGGAATAAAGGGGTTTTGAAGGTGTAGGAATTGGGAAGGGAGGGTGCAGGGGAAAGATTGAACCTGTATTAACTTGCTAATGTAAATAACAATTGCGGCAATATATACACAGTAAAAAAAAAACAAAATTAAATTAATCTTTTAGTGTCAGATAGGTACTTAATAAATATTATACGAGTATTAAACAACCAATTTATTCAAATACATAATTATAGCTACCATTATTCATATGTATATTTTCTTATATCTATACACTTTCCCATCATGCGAGATATGGATAGGGTTTTCGATCGTGACCTCTCAATAGTTTAACGGTCACGTTGGGGTAGCAAGGAGGAAGGGTAGGTCTTATATAAACGTTCATGATTAATTTCTTATATCTACTGAAATATCCTTATAGTCCTGTGTTAATAATACATAAATTTTATACATTTCCTTTTAACTTATGTAAATTAATTGCCTATGGGATATCTAAATACTAAGATTTATGTTTACACATCCTTGTTTGATGAAGCAAATATGCCTAATGGCTATTGTCTCTACTTTAGGAAAGTTTAAGTGTTAAGCAGTTCTTACCAAATTTCTTTCAGGTTGTAAGTAGAACAACTCTTTTTTATAGTATAAGTCGGCAAACGAGCAGACGGATTACCTGATGGTAAGCAATCGGCGCCGCCCATGGACACCCGCAACACCAAAGGAGTTACGAGTGCGTTGCCGGCCTTTTGGGGATATGGGTTACGGATATAAGGATCGGTAAGGGATAGGGATAGGGGCCGCGAAATACAACGCTGTGGGCTATTTCACGTCGGTATTCTGTAAGGCCGTGGTATCGCTCCGGTCGAGCCGACCCATTCGTAGCATAGCTCCGAAGCTTAGCTCTCCTACACTTAAAACTCGTTTGCCTCTCATAAAAATATTCACTTCTTGTTATGGTTGTTGTTGTTATGACAATGCTTGTACACAGAGACTCATATGAACCTGAAGTGATCCACTCACTCATTATTAATAAACTTTTACCTAACTTGTTGTTTTTAGTTGGACAAGTCGACGGCCCGCCGCGTCCATCTTCGAGAGTTGATCCTTACATCTCGGGGATTATACCGATGTGAAGTTTCTGAGGAAGCTCCCTCATTCCACTCTGCGCAAGCAGAAGCTTTTATGGAAGTGTATTGTAAGTACAATAGGAAAACAAAATATCTCAGGGTATGAAAATCAAAAACCTTATTATAATAACGTGACGCTACTAAATCATGGCGTCACAAAGATAATATTTCGGATAATTATATCTTCAAACATTTGTGATTCCATAAAAGAGAAAAAAACGGGTCTATCTAATGTCTTCAATATTCTTGAATACTTACATTATAATAAACATTTGTTTTCATTTCCCATCTATAGTTTATAATCTACGATGGTCCAGTATAAGAACTTTAAACACTAAACCCAAAAACATATTCAATGACTTTCAAAATTCGAACATGTAGATGGTACCTATTAAAATTAACGGCTGCTACAAGTATCTGAATTTAAAAAAGGAACGTATGTTCACAGCTTTTAGGCAGAACACCAAGTAAAATTAGTATCGATGCAATAAACGGTTTTGAAATTCGAACTAACTACTAACGATCAATAGGTACCTACTATGTGATAGATACGTGTTATTTATTTCCCGTAGATACCTATCACTTCTACCTGTAAATAGAAAATACTTACCTTCCTCGCCTAGCTTAGGTCACGTTCACGAAAGCGTGCTTCAAAAACTTATGATCTATGCTGCAACATGAGGGATTTGCAGTCTAGACGAGAAGACAGGTATAACAATATACTTATGAGATTTTAAGATATGAGAATTTAGACATCGATACCCTATCGGTGCACATTAGGAATATCTTGCTAATTTTATGATTATGTACCTACACCTCATTGAACTATACAACTAAGCTACCTATGTATATCTACCCCTTTATTTATTTTTTGTCAGGAGCAAATCATCAAATGACCTCTCCCGCGCTCTATTGCGCTTAACCCGCAGCCCCGGCTGACCCTACCTATATCTACCCCTAAACAATACTAAATGACTAAGTACCTACCTACATACTAGTTTTCCAATTCGTAAAACACATGATGCCTTTTTTTCGAGGAGTGGTAATTATCGAATGTCTCCTCTCACCCTGACGAGAGGGAGTGTCAGAATCATTGGTCACCTGACAAGAGTTAGTGTCAGAACCTACTAAGTATGAATAACTAGGTACCTAACTAAATTGATCTGTGTAACCTGAAAACCTCCAGCATTTTTGAGTAGAAAGGTAGGTACTCACGTGAGGATTATCAAAACAGAAAACATTCCCTTTATCTGTAGGTACGTACCTGCTGTCAAAACAAATAGGGTATCGTAAAAATACAGCTTCTAAACACAATTCATTGAAACGAGCTCTTTAAAAGACAACGACCCTCTCTAACAGAATTGAAACACAACAATAATGACGTTCCATTTCGTATCACCTACGTGTTGTGTGACGTCATTCAATGGTTCAATGTGTAACGTGGATTTATTGACAATGTTATCTTGTTTAGTAGGTAGGTACCTACCTAAAAGAAGAAACGTTAAAAGCGGCATAGCTTCCATGCTAACTTTGAAGTCCAAAATCTTAGAAGGTAGTGAACAGATTTTACTTCAAAACTTCAACTTTAAAAACTTCGTCGTGTGGAATACAAAAATACAAGTATTGTGGTCTAGAAACTCAATGAGGTACCTAAACTGTCGTAACATTCGTTGAACGAGCAGTTTAGTTTGTGTAAAAATCTGCTACTCAGATACATTAAATTATGTTTCTAAACATAAAGACCGAGCATACCTATAAGTACAAATTTTCATACAAATCGGTTCAGTATTTTCAATAATTTTGGACTTTAAAGTCCAATAGGTATACAACCCGTGCCGCGTTTAGCTGCCAAAAACTACGCACAACCCTAGGAACCTAGACGCTTTGCTGTCATTGAAAACTTGAAAGAGGAAGAAATCAAAAATATTTTTGCCTACCCCTTGCAAACCTTGAAATTCTTTCTTCCTCAGCGGCAACGCTTGCATACCATTGCTTAAATGGGAGCACTCATTCAAGTTAGCAAAAATGTTGAATAGCGCGACGTTTGACCTCACAATAATCTGATAACACTGAATAGCCAGCCAGTAGGTATAAACTGAACACCAGACTAAAAACCAGGGTAAAACCAGACTACGATAAACTGGTACTTTTTTAACACTAGGTGCAACCCACAGAGTACATTATAGCAATAGGAAAGTGCAACCGTAGGTGCTACTGACACTTTCACTTAAATTTCATTAGGTAGGTACAAAGTAGTTAGGCTGTAGATAAGTACTTAGATACACCTCAAACTCTGACTTATAATGAGTTATTATCATGTACATATATCACATAGGTATTTTCAATACTTTATTTACATATTGCAGACTTTCCACGTGAAACTCCTCGCATAACGGGCCATGAACGAGCTTATAAATTGAAAGAGCCTCTAGATGTCAACTGCTCATCAGCCAAATCGTTTCCAGCTCCAGATCTACAATGGGTCATAGATGGGCAAAAGGTGAGTGAAATGACCACCTCTGGATACACTTAGGTACCCCTATTCGATTTGGTCCATAATTTCACGGTCACCCTGTATAAAAATGTACTTAGGTGTAGGTAACAAATTCGGGTACCTAATTGTAACTACCAATCATTTCCATAAGATCCTCAGTCAATTCGAATTTTAAATTATATGCATGCCTTACGTTCTGGTATGTTCCTTCTTCCAATCTCATAAGATGCCCAAAAATAATTCAACATTTTCTGGTAACGAATTAACGAATTTAAACCTATCACTTAGGTAGCTTCAGGTCCAGAGTGAATAGGTTGCTGGTTTATGGGATGGGCAGGCATACCTTCTCCTTCGCAGAGTGCATGACAGCTTCAAATTAAATCAATTTATTTGCGAAAGTTATGTACAATTTAGGTACTACTATACCTACGTACCTACTCAGTTTTATAAACAGTAGCACCATACACTAGTCTCCGAATACTTATTGACTAGGAATAAAAAGTAACAATCTATGTAAGTAGGTACTTATATGACATCCTTTCCCAGATCACAGACAAATCATGGCTAATTGCGTTTGGAGCGAAGCCGGCGTCGCAAGGGTTACTAGTATCTACCCTCGGTCTGCGTGCGCCCACCAAGCCACGTATGAAGCTCAAGTGTGTGGCTACTATAGGAACACATAGACGGGAACGAACGGTCATTATAGGTATAAACATATTTTTAATAACTTTAGCTGTGTGATTCTTAAATAATGTTAAGTATACCAAAATCCATAGCATGCATTGACTTTCCACTAGTTGATTTATTAATACCTGACTATAGGTAGTACCTAATGTAGAGAATTTAGTATTCGCTTAGGATTAAATGTTATGAAAAATATCTACATAGTTTTAATTCCGCGACAAAATTTGATGTCATAGACAGTCAGTACTGAATTATAAAAAATAGGAAATATTTAAATAGCAGTTTTAACTTGGTAATATGATTGTTTTTATTAAATTGTTCATCCTTTCTTTGGATATCTTTTTAATATTTAGAAAGCGTAACATGTTATTTGAGCATTACTTTCTCCACAAGAAACATACATTTGTTTATTCTTTTTTTTTCAGAAATAAACTCATCAAGCTGGAACAAGGCGTTTAGTTTACTAATAATGATAACACTGAACATTGTTTGTGTACAGATATCGTGATATTCTCGCATTTAAATATAGTTAATGTAAATAAAGAAACATTTGTAATATGTCGTTTTATTATACCTCAACGCTCGAAATAATAAACACAATATTTCAGAACATTATAATATGTAATCACTTATTTTAACAATATACAAAAGAATGAACGAACTAAACGTTTATTAAGATCAAAAACTAAAAGTATTTTGCGATAGTTCAAGAGAATAATAACTAATTATATCATAATTACATAATATATGTTTTGTATGTTTTCATAAACAAAAATAAATCGTGGGTTAGATGTTCTATGTACAGATACAAAAAGATAAACACTATAAAAACAAAATGCTTGCCAATATCACAATACATAAATTACTTTTTATCAGAATTCAACAATTTATTTCACTAGCCTGTAGGTATTAAAAGTTGTTAATTTATTCCACAAAGAATATTATTGCAAAGATAATCCGAGAGAATAATCTAGAATACCGATAGAACAACAGTAACTATTTAAAGGAATTTTATATAATTTGAACAATTACAATATTCCGTTTGGGGAAACCAAGCCTTACATTACAATTCATAGATAAGTTGTAAAAATACAATTTGTAAATATAACTCTAGATAAGCAATCATTTTATCTAGCTAAATATATCTTATGCAATTTACGTCATTGGTGTTAACAACAATATTGGACATCAAGATTTGAAATGTGGTTAAATAGAAGCGTGATGAAATACAAGATTAGTTTCCTAAAACAAAACAATTCTCTTAGCAAGCAAGTCATTGCTTCATACTTTATATTAACAAAATCACAAAATAAGCCCAATACATCACAAAATGTATGAATGCCCTTTGTTTCTCATTTATTATATTCATGGACCATGATACTTAAATTACACTTCGAGTTGTTACACTAGTTTATTGCGAAAAAGACAGAAGGCAAACATGTTATTAAAATTTTAATCACTATCAAAATTATTGTAGGCATAAATTCTTAGAGTTGTACACTACACACTTCAGAGTTTTGCAACCAATGATATAAAATTACAAGCTGAACATGTGAATGTGACACAATGAACAACAAACAATATTTGTGAAACTACTATACACATCATGTAGACTAACCTAGATTGAAAAATTTATAAAAATAAAAAGACTACATTTGCAACATATTAGGCACTGTGAATAAACTCCAGTAAAATACAGCTAATAAAATCTTATAATATTTAAATAAGTAAAATGCATCAATTTATCCTTCCTGACCAAAATCTTCCATGAACTTCCTAAGTCTGACCATATCTTCGTCATTTACAGTTGGTTTCGAAATAGCTAACGAGCGCAACATGTCAGACATAGTTACTGGAGGTTCATTCAGTTTATCGCCGGGGACGTCCATCCAAGTCATTTCAATCGCGCCTGGGTCGCCAGGTGAGCAAGGAGTTAGAAGGTCATTTGCAATAACATTAGGGTCTAATGGGCTGGGACCAGATACCTTCTTGAAGTGTGTAGCAGACTGCACTTTACGCACGGGCTGCATCAACGCATCTCGAACGACAATACAGATATCAGCACCAGAGTATCCTTCAGTTTTAGTTGCTAAAACTTTCAGGTCCTGCTCAGTGAGTTGATGCCTCGTGTTTCCCAGATGCAACTTGAACATATCTAAACGCGCATGTTCTTCAGGTAGTGCGATGTAAATACGCTTCTCAAAACGTCTCCTGATAGCAGAGTCAAGTACCCAAGGGATATTTGTGGCTCCGAGTACTAGAATACCATCCATGTCGTTACCCACACCTTGCATCTGTACAAGAAATTCGGTTTTGATTCGTCGAGCCGATTCGGATTCGTTGTCGGATCGAGACGAGCATAGAGAATCTATTTCATCAATGAATATAATACTTGGCTTGTGTTGCCGAGCTAGCTCGAAAAGATTCTTCACTAACTTCTCAGATTCACCAAGCCACTTGGACACAAGATCAGAAGAAGACACAGAGAAAAATGTCGAGTTATTGGCTTCAGTAGCAACAGCTTTAGCCAAATAAGATTTACCAGTACCAGGAGGTCCAAAGAGAAGGATTCCCTTCCAAGGTATTCTTTTGCCTGTGAAGAGATGAGGGAATTTGATGGGGAGGATAACAGCTTCTTTCAAAGCTTCCTTAGCTGCCTCTAAACCAGCTACATCACTCCACTTCACATGTGGCTTCTCTACTACAATAGCACCTTCAAGTTTGCCTTGAAGTTTTTTCTTCTCAGGATTATCGGAATCACTGTCACTGTCACTTTTTTTATCTTCACTTTTGGAGTTGGATTCTCCATCCTTGACTGGTTTCTTTTTGCTGTCTTTCTTGAGGTACTCCTTCAGTTTTTCAGCTCTATCAAGGTATTGTAGACACTTGGCTCTTATACTTTCTTTAGCCCTTTCACCCTGAGCTTCATATTTGACTGCATGGAGAAAGTATTCTACACCATGTTCATACAAACGCAGAGCTTCTTCATAATTTTTGTTCTTGTCCTCCTCAGTGGCTTTTGTGACAAGGTCAATGGCCTTTTGTAAAGTATTGGATGATGCCATTCTCCTTTACTATATTGTTACCTGAAAATCAACAGTAAATGTATTAGTAATTTCAATAATAATATATCAATAATTACTAATTTACTATCACCAAAAGAACTAATTCTGTATAATACACTATCTAAAAGGAAGTTCTATGAGTATGAGTCAGATTCTAAACAATAATGATGATTTCCATTAAATAAATAATTAAAATTGTTCAAGTATAAATTGAACAATTTTAATGCCCAGGTTGGTAAAGTTAATTATGAACCTTATAAAGTTATAATCATGTATGGGTGCATACTTATATAATTTTAAGCATACAAATGAATGAACATGGTAATAACACCTTTATTTTCCTAATCAAATTTTTTTTTTTGTATAGGGAGGCAAATGAAGCACTTCTACTTAGTTAAACACTTTCTGCAGTAGATAGGGAATGTTTTAAACCAAAAATCCCAACTTAGTACTGATCTGTTCTGAGCACAGAACTCAAGACTACCTGCTTGCAAAGCTGATACTAAACTACTTCACTATTTAATGGATATTATTATACAAATAAAACCTGCATTAAAGTCCTTTGCGTAGTTTTCAAAATCTTAACAAACAGGGGGGTTATACGGACAGAAAAAGCAACTTTGTTTTGTACTATGTTCAATTAGTATATTTAAGGCAGACATTGACCTATAATCATATCAAAATTTATTTGAATAGTTTCTGCTATGGCTTCACCTGCTTACCCAGGATATTATATCACCAATTTTTAATTCTGATTATAATCAATCTCCAAAAACTCTGAATGAATGAATGAATTGATGCAATAAAAAAGATTTCTCCAAATTCATTGAACAGTTTTATTTTCAGAAGAAGTAACAACCGTTGATCCTTACACAGTGTATAGTTAAATATTAGTGGAATGGTTGACTTTTTGTACATAGCTGATAATTAATAAATGAATCAACTAAGAAGCACCTTGTGTAACTCACTTTATATATTAAAAACCAAACATAAAAATTACAAAAAATTGAAGTCTAATGTCTTAATCTCACGAAGCTCTTCATTTGAGCACACATTAAATGACAAAAAGGAGGAAAAAACAGCACAAAATATTGTGCAAACATTATTTCAATTGTATTACATTTAACATCCAGAAGACCTTAGAAGACCAAAACATTTTAACAAAATCGGCATTCTGCCTTTCTATAGTACTTGAATATAGAAAGATTTAGCTAATATTAAGCTTGGTCATCGTTAATTTAATGTGTTTGTGTTCATAGGCAGTGCCTACTTTATCCAATGACAAATTGGGCAGCCAAATGAGATCACGGACCAAACGGCCATGGATATTAGGCGAAATAATTGCGTATTTTATCAAAAAGAGTAAGCTTACCATCCACAATAGTGTCACGACGTTTAATTGCAAGCGCAAATCCAGTTTAATTGCTTTTTTAATCACTAAACTGCGACGAAAAAGTTAAATACCAATACAGACAATTCGTTGTTAGTCACTATTAGATGACAGCAAGAACTGACATTGCCAGGATAGAAAATTTGTAAATACTTTCCCTTTACCTATTTTTGTAGAGAATAATAAATGTTGTTTTAAAACTTCTAGAATTTTTAATCTTATATTTAAATTACAATTAAATTAACAACAACAAATATATTTAAACAAAATGTTGGATAAAAGACACACTCAGAAAGGCACACGAGCAGACGGATTACGCTGTGGTAACACAAGAAGAGTTACGAATAATATGCAAAAAGTATTAAAATCCGTGTGGTAAGTACCTATGCAATCGGCCCTCAAGATTTTTTTATTAATTCATTAAGCTACATTACCTCTTCATAATTAATATGCTGGCAATATTGACAAGTGAATGTTGAATCTGTAAGATAATAATTACCTACAAGTTTAAATATTAAAAACTAGCTACTCTCGCGCGGTTTCACCCACTGCTCAGCTACATTTCATCATAGCGTGATGTTTTATAGCCTAAAGCACCCAGGAACATTGTAGCTATCTACCAGAGAAAGACTTTTGGCAATCCGACCAGCGGTTCCAAAGAATACCCCCTACATATAAACTTACAAATTTTACCTCTTTATAATATTAGTAAGAAAAAAACAAAGTTTCTAAAAAAACAAAATCTATATGACTTTTTTTATTTATGATCCTTCGTAAAAACAGATGTTTTTAACAAAACCTTAACAAAACATTCACCATATCGCTGTTAGCAGCGGTAATCTTTTCCAAATAATTTAAGTACCTACGTGGTTATTGCTTATTGGCCATAATCATCTCATTATCTTCCACTCCAAGTTTCTCTTAAGTTTTAAATTAGCTCTTTTCCTCTTTTCATGATCCTACGCCTACGATTTTGATTCCACTCGCAAAGTTATTGTTGGGATATCAATCTACCCCGTGAATAAAAATGTGCAGTAAAGGAATTTCACCTTGCACATAAGCGCTCTTAGACTTCAGCCGGGGTTGCAGATCAAGCGCAATAATGTAGGTACTGCGACCTCGGCCTGGAAAAGGAGAAGGGACGGGGTGATTTTTAGTCAGTAAAAGTGTGACACATACGACCTATAGGCAAAAAAAAAATTTGATAAGTTTTTCTGCAAAATAACACAAATTGGTAAGACTATAAGGTGTCACGGTGTGACAGTATCAGGGAGGCTATGCACCACCGTAGCATCATGTGCCCTTTTCAGTACAGATTTAGGTATATGTCGGTATAGGTTCTTACCTCATTTCCAATATTATTTAAGCATCTGGAGATGAAAATCGCCGTGAGGAAAACTTATAATCTATACTAATATAAAGTTTGTATGTAGGGGGTAATCTTTGGAACCGCTGGGCAGATTGCTAAAATTCTTTGGGTACGTTGCCGGCGCTTTAAGGAAGAGTACGTTCGTACGTATTGGTTGGGGAATGTCGCCGCCGGAAGATCATTCCAAAGTTTTGCAGAGCGGGGCAGAAAGTTTCGCGTGAATCGCACAGTTGTTGACTGCCAACCATCTATGTGATGGGGATGAAAATGTTTTCGCGTGGAACGATGGCAGAAAGATGCGGCGGGGATCAAACCCTACAATTCCTCAGAACACTCCAATATTTTTTCAAATCGATCATGTATTCAATTCGTATACTCAAACAAATTCAAGTTCTGCTTACTGACGTAATAAGTAGTATTAAATTCATTTTCATGGCGCAATGTTTAATTTTAATATGTATTCAGAAATTCAGAATGTAGGTTTACCTTTAAAGTAAGAAGAAGAAGGGAAACATATTTTTTTAATATGGTGAAAATGTCCAATCTCGGCACACAAAGACACTAATTACTCGCTGTGGCGTGCAACCAAGAACCTCAAGAGACCAAAAGACTACGTCCCACTACTTCGAAAACAGGATGTAAGTTGGGCTAGGTCTGAGGTAGAAAAAGCGACAGCGAACAAGTCTTCACACCACTGTCTAGTTCCGATCCCAAAGATTACGATATAATCGATTATCTGCAGTCACCTAATTAACTATGTTTCCCATTAAAAGCAGTTAGTCCTGGAGAAATTCGCAGATATTAAGAATTTAACACTTAATAAAGCTCCAGGATAAGAGCAGAGAAAACTTAAGTTGTGTCAGAAATCTTGTTTATTAACCTGATTCAAACAGGTTATGGGCCCAGACCCACGTTAATGTAAAAGTGGTGACGACCTACTGGATTCTGTCTTGCTAAGTAATCTTCCAAATAGTGGCGTAATGTTCCTTGTTATTATTTTCAACGCATGCTTAAGACTCTCCCACTATCCACCGCAATGGAAACTTGCGCAAGTCGTCGTGATCCTCAAACCTGGAAAACCGCCAGAAGATGTCTCGTCATACAGACCAATCAGTCTCCTTCCATTAATTGAGAAGTTGTTCGAGAAAGTTATTCTTAGTAGGATGCAACCTTACCTGAGTACAATTCTTCCTGAGCATCAATTTGGGTTCAGACTAAAACATGGTACTATCGAACAGGTCCACAGGTTGATAGATACAATCGGATAAGTTTGGAGTATAAAAAATATTGTTCGGCTGTATTTTTGGAAATTCAGTCAGGCCTTTGATAGGGTTTGGCATGACGGCCTCTTGTTCAAGATAGATAAAAAAACACCTACATCACTTCTTCTACTTTCTACTAAAAATCTACCTGGACAAAATATGCTACGAGGTTAAATTAAACGATATTACGTCGGATTTGTTCGAGTCAGGTCAGGAGTTCCTCAGGGGAGTATATTGGGGCCCGTGTTGTACCTTATCTTCACGGCTGACATCCCCATTGATGACAAAACTTTTATTGCAACATACGCCGATGACACTGCAATAATGTCAATAAATTCTAGTTCAGTTATTGCGTCAGAAAATCTCCAAAACCATTTAACTGAAATTGAAAATGGCTAAAAACTGGAGAATAAGCTATGAAGATTGAACTAACAACACATAATTTAGGCTCGCTAAATGTATACTAGTGTGTATTAAAATAAATGTAATAAAAATAATAATATTCGGTAACTAATTTTTTATTAACTATTGTATAATATTACATTATTTATTAGTAATGTCTACCTACAGTACAGGCAAAACACAATCCCACTTCAGTACCTCCATACTTAGGTACTTTAACATAATCTTGATAAGTACATTCTGACTAAAATCCCATTTTCCCACTAATCAACAAATCATTTGAAAACTAATTTTATTACGTGTTTTCTGGTTAAGAGTCCCGACCGCAATTGATTATCGATATTCGACAAAAAATCGATCTCAGTGAAAAGGTTTTGGATTGAGGTCGGGTTACAATTTCTTAGTAAAGTACCGCTAGTACCTAGGTAGGTAAAAACCCAAATGCATATTATTACAAATTATTTATTTCGTGTGGGAATTGTAGGAATCATGCAGTTGATCAGTTTTGTAGAAAATGGGATCTCTTATTATAATTTCTAGCTAAATTGTTTCTATACAACGTTGTCCCCTACTATTTCATAAGTGTAGCCTTCGTGCAT